AATGCCGAGTTCGTCACATAAATCTGAGAATAGATTTCGTTCGAACTCTCCCCCATGATCGCTTCTTATGGCTACTATGGTTGTTTCTTTTTCATTTTGAACTTTCTTTAGAAAATTTTTGAAAACGTGAAATGCCTCACTTTTGTGAGTTAGAAACAAGGTCCATGTAAACCTAGAGTAGTCATCGACAATCACAAACGCAAAGTAATTACCACCAAAACTTTTTGTTCTAGAAGGACCAAAGAGATCCATGTGCAAAAGTTGAAGCGGTCTAGACGTTGAAACAACGTTCTTAAACTTAAACGAAGCCCAAACTTGCTTCCCCTTTTGACATGCATCACATATGGTGTCTTTTTCAAACTTAAGTTTTGGAATGCCAATTACTAAGTCTTGTGAAACCAATTTGTTCAAAAGGTTCATGTTCATATGAGCTACCCTTCGGTGCCATAACCAAGTGTCTTCCTCCTTACTCATGGGGCACTTAGCAAAGCCGGAAGGAGATTTGTCTAAGTTAACCATATATATGTTATCGATTCTATCACCACGTAGAATGACCTTATTGTCACTAAGGCGTTCTACCGTGCATGATTTTGAATCGAAGGTCACACGGTTTCCCTTGTCACATAATTGACTTATGCTCAAGAGATTGTGTTGAAGACCTTTAACAAGAAAGACATTATTTATATAGGAGTCTTCGGACATACCTACTGAACTGACGCCGATAATTTTTCCCTTGCTATTATCTCCAAAGACTACGTTTCCTCCTTTAGCGGGTTTGATTTGTAGGAACTTGGATGCATCTCCGGTCATGTGCTTGGAGCATCCGCTATCAAGGTACCAAAGTACACTTGACGCCTTCAAGCTCACCTACAAAAATGATTTAATAAGATTTAGGTACCCAAGTCTTTTTGGGTCCTTGAGTGTTAGGTGCAGAGTGGTAGTGTGATTCATTTTGTGCCCAATGCCTATGCCTGGTAAAGCAAACGAGAGCTATATGTCCTACCCTCTTGCAATAGTGGCAAACTACGTTTGGGTTGTGCATCCTCCTAGGTTGATAATAGTTGCTAGGGGGCCTAACCATATTCATCCTATTTTGAGAAAATATTGGTTTTTGAAAATTCTCTCTTCTAGGTGTCCTAGCATTATTTTGTCTATTTAAAAAAATATTTTTATGCACAAATTCATTTTGATAGTTTTTCCTAGGTTGTCTAATATGCACATTTTCATTCCTAGGTTTTTGTCTAGGTTGTCTAGTGTCCTTAGGTTGACTAGATTTTCTATTATCCTGATTTTTAACTTTCTTACGTTGAGCCTTAGGAGGTTGTCTAGGTGTTTGCTCAACGTTTTTATCCTTAGATTCATTTTTATCAAAACCTAATCCTTCCTTAGAAAAATGCATAGTGTCTAGGAGCAAATTAAGATCTTTGTGTGATGTATTAAACTTCTTAACCGTACTCTCAAGTTTTGCAACCTTTTCTTTTAAGGCTTTGCAAGATTCACATTCACTTGAAGAGCTTTCTAGTTTGTCAGCGCTTCTTTTGCCATAAAATTTATTTTCTTGTTTCAACTTTTCATTATCTTTTTCCAGTTTTTCAAAATCATTTTCAAGAGTTGAAAGACGTTTCTTTAATGATTTGTTGGTTTTAGAAGCACTAACAAATTCATCATAAAGCTCTCGAAGAGCTTCTTGCATCTCTTCAAAAGTGTAAGAGTCGGAGGAAGTGATACATACCCCCTGTATTTCGTCGGCGTGGTCTTCGTGAGCCATGAGACAGAGGTTGGCGGCTTCTTCCTCTTCTTGGTCAGATGACTCGTCGCTGGAGTCGCCACCCCATGAGATATAGGCACGTTGCTTTTTGAAGCCAGGTTTGTCCTTGCCGCTTTTGCCTTTTGGACACCTCGGCTTGATGTGGCCTATCTCGCCACAGCGATAGCACTTCGGGGGACCGTCGTGCTTTCTTCCTTTTCATTCAAATTCTTTCTTCATGAATTTGTGGAATTTCTTGATGACGAGTCCGAACTCGTTGTCGTCATCGCTTGAGACTTCTTCTACGGTCTCCTTGGTTGCTTTGAGCGCTATTCCTTTCTTCTTTTGTTCATCCAAAGACGGGGTTAGAATAGTATATTCATAATTTTTGAGGTTACCTCTTAGCCCGTCGATGGTGACGTTGGAGACTTCGATGGATTCGTAGATTGCGTCAGCTTTTGATCTCCATTCGGGTGTGAGACTCTGCAGGATTTTCCTCACGAGATCCTTGTTGGCGTAAGTCTTTTTGAGAGCATGAAGGTCGTTGATGATCTTTGAGAACCGATCGAACATGTCATCGATCTTTTCGCCTTCCTTCGTCCTAAACATTTCGTACTCCTGCGTTAGGAAGTCAATTTTGGCTTCCCGAACTTGGTCCGTACCTTCATATGTGACCTCCAGCTTGTCCCACATTTCTTTGGCGGTGGTGCAGCAAGAGATCTTGCGATAATCATCGGGGTTGACCGTGCAATACAGCGTGTTGATTGCCTTGGCGTAGTTCTCCACCTTTTTGATCTCTTCGGCATCAAATTCGTCCTCGGTCTTGGGGACGAGTTTTTCACCGACCTTCATTGGCGTTTCTTCGCCGTTTTTGATGACCAACCACAACTGGAAGTTGGTTGAGCGGATATAAATTCTCATCCGCTCTTTCCAATATGTGTAGTTGGTGCCATCAAAAAGCGGTGGCCTAGAGGTTGATTGACCTTCTCCAATTCCTGCATAAAGATTTCTAGAAGAAGAACCCATGATCGCTTTACTCTCAAACNCGAACTTGGTCCGTACCTTCATATGTGACCTCCAGCTTGTCCCACATTTCTTTGACCGCGCAATACAGCATGTTGATTGCCTTGGCGTAGTTCTCCACCTTTTTGATGTCTTCGGCATGAAATTCGTCCTCGGTCTTGGGGACGAGTTTTTCACCGACCTTCATTGGCGTTTCTTCGCCGTTTTTGATGACCAACCACAACTGGAAGTTGGTTGAGCGGATATAAATTCTCATCCGCTCTTTCCAATATGTGTAGTTGGTGCCATCAAAAAGCGGTGGCCTAGAGGTTGATTGACCTTCTCCAATTCCTGCATAAAGATTTCTAGAAGAAGAACCCATGATCGCTTTACTCTCAAACAGTTAAGTTTGGACGCGAGTTAGACTCTGATACCAATACATTAAAGGGGTGATTGGCTTGATTTATGGGATTGAATAAATTATGGATGTGCAGGATATTGGCTTCCCAGCGATGTATGGTTTCTACCCATCGCTGGTAGGCCAATTTTCCTTCAGTTTTGAAGCCAACGGTCACCTACCCATCGATGGGTACAAGCTTCCCATCGCTGGGTGGGAGGTTGACTTCCAAACAAGAAAAGAATCAACCTTAAATGACTTCCAACGGTCATGCCTTCCCATCGATCGTTTAGCCTTCCCATCGCTGGGTTCCCATCGATGGGGTAAAGTCCCCATCGCTGGGTAAGGTCGTTCTGCCTTGTGTTGATGTTGGACCAAGGCTTTAACAGCGATGGGTAGAACTTCCCATCGCTGTTTGGCATGGTTCTGGAACTTGGTTGGGCTAGAGGACCGCTTACCCATCGATGGGTAGTTCTTCCCATCACTCGGTGGGTGGTTAGTCAAAAACCCATGGTTTTTGCCTGAACCACGGCCTAGCCAACCCATGCAAAAACTGACCGAAAAATCCAACGTTCTCCAAAATAAAAACTAAGTGAGACACTTTAAAAACAACGTCATTTGGGTAAAAACCAGGGCTAGTCAAGTTTATGTCGTTTTACGTGGTTTTTGCCAAATGACCAAGAATGAAAGGTGGTTTTCAAGGTGTTTTCGTTGGAGAACTGTTTAAACATGCCAATTAGTAAAAACCAATCATAAAATGTTGAAAACCACTTGGTTGGTTCGGACGCCAAAAACCAATGCCGAAAACCGAATGCCGAACGCCGGTTGCTAAAAACCGAACGCCGGATGGCTTGGTTTTTGATTTGGGCGAACACCAAATGTTTTTAATGTTTTAAACATTTTTGAAAGAAATTTTTATGATGTAAGAGATGCAATGAAAAGATTTTAGCCTAAAGAGCCAAGGTGTAAAGATTGGGTCGGTCTTGATCACAACAAAGACCGACTCAACGATGTTGGACATGAGTTCAAACCCCTTTTCTATTTCTTCTGGAATATTTTTTGTTTTGATGAATGACAAACAGGATGATTAATTTCCAGCTGATCGAAAATTTATTATTCGGATCGAGAAAAGCAAAGAAGGGCATCAAGAAGTTTCGGCGATAAAATTCACGCTCACCCCTACGCAGGTTTTTGAAGTGAAGCGAAGACTCCGAAGACTTTTTATTTTTATTGAGTCTAGGAATTTTTGTAAGGATGACAATATCTTCTGCACAAACAACTTAATTTCTGAGAGATAAAAATTATTATTTTTCTTAGTCATATGAAAAATCACTTTTCCTCTGTCTAAAATATTTTACTGAGTCAGTTTCAAAATAAGTGTGTCAAGACTTCTTAAAAACATTTTTTTTATTACACAATTTTTACTTGGTAAGAAAAATTTACTTTAAATATTTTTCGTGTACATCGTTTAACACACAAAATAATTTTTGGACTCTCTTTTTTCTCTCCCCTACTCAAATTCATTGAATAGGGAGATATTATCCCAGGAGCGTCCGTTGTCCCAAACAACGAGTTACAAACCAAACCCCTTTCAATCGCAATTGGCTTGGGCCCTTCATGTTTGCGCATTATTTTTACTTTAATCGATTATTTATTCCAAAATAATCGATTAGATCCAATTTTACAGCGCTGGTTTTCTCAGGCAAATCAACTTAATCGATTAAATTTATCACTTTAATCGATTAGTTTAAACAGAGCAGAATAATCGATTATTCCCTCTTTTTTAATCGATTAATTCCACTTTTGGTTTCAAGCCTTTTCGCTTCTGTACACTTTAATCGATTAAAATTCCTAAATTAATCGATTAATTCTGTCTGGTGCATATCATCAGCTTTCTTCAACGGCTTTATTTTCCTCAGCCTATTTAATCCCTCATTCTCCTTCATTTCAACACACATCTTGCACTTCAATATATTCTTTGAGCTATATTCATCCTTTGCTTCATCTTCCTCGTCAAAATATTATTTTTGAGAGTTAGAAATATTTTCTTTGAGTGCTAAAGAAGTTGTCATCCATAGAGCTTAAATTCTTCAACACTACTTTGCTAAATTGTGTGAGCTTTCATTCTTGTGTTGTAAACTCAATCTCTTTTGAGTGTTGTTCTTAAGACTTGTGTGACTCAACTCTTGTTGTTGTAAGAAAGTGAGGCTTGTGCGATTCAAGTTCTCAAGTTGTACCGGTTTTTCAAGCACCCGTTGAAGCTTGAAGATTAGTAGGACTTTCGAGAGAGTCTCTCGGAAGACTGGATTAGCCACGAGGTGGTGAACCAGTATAAATCTCGGTGTTCTTCTTTCCCTTACTCTCTTTATTTATTTCTGCGATTCTATTATTTCACACACGCGAAAAACGCACATTCTTGAAAACAACTCTATTCACCCCCACCCCTCTAGAGTTGCACATTTGTCTAAGAAACGATACTAAGACTATGGTCTTCGTTTAGCTCTTGTTCTTATCTTCGTTCTTCGCCTTGTATATTCACTTTGTGTCTTGATCACGGCGGTTTGGCATTATCAAAACCTGTCATAAAAACGAACACGGCTTTAGTACGAAAACGTGACAAGCCCGTGTTTCAACAATTTCCCCCTTTTTTATAATCGCAAACAAGAAGATGATGCTCAAGAAGGGAGCCAAGAAGAACACTCCACCCAAATGCTATGGGTGTGGTGAAATTGGACACATCAAACCAATGTGCCCAAAGCTCAAGAACGAGAAGGACAAGAAGGCACCGAAGAAGCAGCGTGCCTACATTTCTTGGGAGAACGACGGCTCCGGGAGTGAAGACTCGGAAACTGAAGAAGTGGCCAACTTGTGTCTCATGGCCATTGAAGATGGTGATGCATCAAAAGAGGTAAGTGATCAAGAACCTTCTCTCAATGATCCTTTAACTCTTAATGATGTTGTTTGCATTGTAGAAGATTTGGTAAGAATGTTCAAAAAGGCCTCCAAAGAAAACCATCAAATAAAGCAAAAAATCCTGATTTTTGAGAATGAAATCAAAGAACTCAAAAATATAAATGATAAACTTAAACAAGAAATTATCTCTTTTAGA